AGTAAAATGTAACGGGAATTCCGACGCGTTCATTATCCACATGTGTGTGGACAAAATTTTGTGAAGCGTTAGTTGTACAGTTCAGTGGCTTATTGATCAAAACTTCAGGAGTCACCAACGATATCCAACCTTCCATTCCCAGCTCCGGCTATCTCGACCGCATGAATGCAAACAAGTTCGAAAGCTGCCTTGACTTACAACGTTTGGAGCGAGCTAAATATCCAGCTTTTCTTCAGAAAGGAAATAAGGTCTGATGTTATCCCATTGAACAGCAACATCCCCCCTCGTTGTGGTACAGCACAAAGCGGTAAACCAAGAGGAAAGTGCCTCCGACTGATTCCATGGGAACGAATTCATGGACTCCATTTAAGAAAGGGAAAGTGAAGGATTTGACTGTAAGAGTGACTACGTTGTGCCAGTTCTGTGATTGAAGCAATGGGGTTGCCATTATAGATACACAGAACTGTTCAGGAGTCTTAGCGAACCGCTGATTTGGCGTCAGTTGATCATGTGAGCTGTGGTTAAATGGGGTGTACTAGACGTTTTGGAGGGAAGAAGTATCCGCGTCAGGTTGCTAAATGAGGTACAATATAACTGAGTGCTTACTGTCACATTCATCATACCAGATAGCCACTATATCATGAGGTACATCTGTTCACTGATTACCCCCTCTGGTTTCGGTTCCTTTGTACGAATGTTGAACAGGAAGGCAAGAGGACCAGTGATTTATGGCAACCTTGTTAACAATTCAAGGTTTGTACTGGACCAATCCATAAGTAATCCGTAGTTGTATTAACTCATTTTCACAAAGGAACCCGCTTATTTTCGTTATCCGTTTAAACCAATGTGCAAGACCTAGATGTGCAACAACTAAGGCTATTGCAATTGTTTAAAGCATCGTTAGCGCACGCCTTGCATTCACGTGGATGGGTATGTTGCTTGGGTCGTTTTCACAGTTAACTATGCCCTTTCGTGGGACCAAAAATCAAACAACTGCTGCATATACCATCTCAATAACAGTATGAGTCCAGCAAAAATAGCTTGAATAACTTCAGTAACGCTTTTCACCCGCCAACTTAGATTGATGAAATACAATATATGTGCCACACATATGTACCCGGTTTATTGCCGTCATCTTGTTAGCTTCCATTAAGGTAATTAGCTGTCTTGACACGCCTTTTGTCGCAACCGGAGATAGTCAAATGACCTCATAGTGAACACCCTACGAGCGAACACCCTATGTGCGCAAGTACGATACTAATTATTTACGGAAAGACTATGTTTAATATGGAACTATTACTACTGGCACACCATACACAAAGGGAATTAGAGACAAAATTTCAAACACTATCTTCCTAACAAAAGCAACACCACATGCCTAATCCTCTGCATCAGTATCTAGTGATCGTGTTCAGCAATATCCTTCTGGATATTTGTATTAGATCCTTATATGTGTGAGCAGCGCCCCGACTGAACATGGGAACATTGCCTCAGTGCAGAAGGGAACATGGAATTCTGAGTCCGCACATGTTCCTATGCGCCGCAATGCAGTTCAAATTAAAGTTACATGTTTGACCCTTGGAGGCACTAGACAGCGGATTTTTGGCCATTTATTACTGCCAAAGCCAAATGATTACCACGCAGCCAGATTCATGTGTGTCATGCATGACAATGATCGAAATCGAAGGATGTCGCACGAATTTGTGTTTTGGGCTTTGATAACTCGCCCATTGAACCAGTCATAAAGCTTGAACCAGTGTGTTAACATGCGTGCCACCACATACATACTTCCCTTTGCTTTACCTCACCAATGGGTTTCATTTGAAGCTAGCATGTAGGCTTACCTTAAGGGAAACAGAGTTAGCTACGGAAAAGCATTTACAGGTTTGTGTACAGGCGACTAAGTGAAAAGCATCAATTTTGCTACCGACCAAAAGATTCAATGCCTTGTAAGTGTAGTAGTTAATTCGGTTGTACTCAACTACCAATGCGGCGACCTGCGATGACCATGTACCCTTCATAGGTGAGCAGGAAAGATTGAACTTTGTGACCTCTTAGTGTGTTTAATCAGCTGAGCCATTCGGTGTTGTGTGATACCACTCTACGGCTTCCATTCCGCATTTTCAGAAGACTCCATTCACATGACGAATGATGAATGGCACTCAGGATACACCGAATGACGACCAACCCAGCAAGTGAATCACCGGTAAGATCGAAGGCGTGTGTGGATAGCGGAGTGCCACCGTAACTAAGACATTAAGAAATACCGGGATAGAGGGCTATGTGCGAATTCTAGCAATCAAATGTTTACCAGGCAGCTTCCAAACGGTAACAATCACTAATCACGATGAACCTCAAAAGCACACACCGCTCTGCGCTGAAAGATGAAAGATTAACGCTCGTTCGAATAAGAGAAAGCGATAGGTACGTTCGTTTCCCCTTACAGGGGATCTGCAAAATCGGTTCGCAATTGTTTCAACTAACATACACATCCCTAAATATTTTAAAGAAGTAAAACTGAACACACATCCCTTTCTCTATGCCGTTTACTTCAATCCGGACAGCATGAAGTGGTTTGTTAATCGTTGAATGCGTAATAGCTACGCTACCGATGAGATTTCCGCTACATCTTTGTGGTTCACTTTGAGTGATGAACCTGCATCAACCGGTCCGTCAGCTAAATTTTGTTGCTCTGCGTGTACCCACACCATTCAAGAAAACACCATCCGTTGCAAAATAATCTACTGGAACTAGTTGTTCCAAACGAGTTGTTTGGTGCCTACATGTTTTTCTCATAATTTGCTTCGTTACAATAACTGTGCTAAATGTAGCAATAAAAGGCATCTCGCTTATTCATGCAGCACACTACGCTTTACCGTACTGACCACGTCATCTCACATGGTGGCGAAAGGCATGCAACCCTTATGTCAAGCTCAATGAACCAGTCAACAGTTGAACAACCAATCCGAACTACCAGTGTTTTAATTTATTTGTATCCTGTGGTGTATGGTCGCCAGAGATGTCTTCTAAATGATCCTGTTCAAATTTGCTCTGATTTTGTCTACTAATGGATAGACGGTAAATTTAACCATATCTGCATGTCAAATTTACCCTCTGAGTGAGTTGTCAATATAGAGTTACTGCTTTACTTAGCAACATCAGTTCTATGCTCTCGGTTTTGGTCAGCCCATCGTCCATTTTATCATGCATAGGCAGAGACTACGTAACCATCAACTGCGCCTGCTGTACCGGTCATACTTTTAAAAGCTTTGGTAGAGCTTGTTATCGAGATAAAATGCTGTCACCTTTAGGACTGGTCATACTGCACCGCATGTTCGGAAGACCCCCGAACAATCATATCACACCGAGCAGAGTAAGTCCGTAGCATTTGCTGATCAAAATTTGCAGTGTGCATGCAAACTGATTGTATACAAATAGTAGCCTCATGCCTACATGCTGATGTGATGTGTATACGACACACAACTCGTTAGTGACTATTGTATCCTACAAAGAGAATTTCATCATTCTGCTGATGATCAAAATTGTTAATCCTCTTGATACAAATTAAATATGCTTCTTGTATCATCTGGATCGATGGGCTCTCTTCCATTAGCAAGCACTTTATGGAAAAATAAAAAGAGGATCTTTATCTCAGCTTGCTGTCCTATGTAAATGAGGAGCCAGCCATCGCACTTCATCGTGAAGTTCCTCGGTTGATTGTGTTCTCACCCACCCCTCTCCGCGCGACTGTATGACTAAAGTCAATTAGGTGAGAAAATGCTCAAAAAATAGGATACATTTGCCGCAATACGCCACAATGGTCGTCATAGGTTTATCGACAGTCTTCGGGTGAAAGCTACATTAGGAATGCGGAACAGGAATTGCTTAAGGGTTGCGCTGAGACCCCACACCGAGTTTTGTTCACCTGTGCATGTTCGGTCTGTGCCTCATAATGCCTCCCCCTACATGACACTTACGTACACTCATTCTGGTGATAGATTACCGTGTGGATGGAAAGTGATGGTTGAAACCTGGACTAATTATGTTGGCATTTGTGCACACATGCTATACGAAGAAATGCACCGTAACCGGACTTTTACCGTATGGGTAAACTTTCTGATTCCTGTTCATACTGCCGACCTCCGTAGAATGAACTAAGTGGAGAGTAGTATGAACCGAACTTAGATGACCTGTTTGCAATGAGCCGGGTGCGATTAAAACTACGGCATTGTGTTGTTTTTGTAACCATAATTCGCTTCTTCCTCTAGTCACACAGTAGGCTAATGACAAATTCATCACCTTGGCGGTCATTCCTTCTCATTACGAAAGCGCGGTCCGAAAATGGAGCAACAATACCCACCGCAAAAGCTCGATACATCCTTAATTTACATAAAACACCAATGTCACAATCGTTGTCATACACCTATGGGTTATTCAGATATTTAGTTAATTTATATTAGTTTCTCGCGATGGTGAAGTGACCATGGTGACTTTATGGGAGAGCTTCAAGACAGCTTCCGGTTAAGACACGGCAACTCTTCCTGTTGCTGTTACTGGTAGAAAAACAGACACATAAGTAGAGCAAAAGTGTGAAAATTATAAAAAATGGAATGCTGAGCACAGCGAGAACGAGGTACTTGATGCGTCCACTTAAAAACCACCACACGTAGTTATGCGCGAACCTTACAAAAGCATGAAAGTTATTTCTGTCGAATTCTGTTTCTAGACATAAAACGAAGTTACTATGATCGTGCGCACAAAGTCAATTCAGTTAACGAAGCTAAGTATGCACTGGATTTCGTCATCTACTAGCCATCTATCTGCATTGCTGCATGCAGGCTGAAATTTGATTAACCGTGGATGCAACTGTTCAAATGACAGGAATTCCGCATTAGATGTGTAGACGCTTCATGTACACTACGGCAACAAGTGGACTAACAGGGTATTTGGGCATAAGGAAAAATTGGTGTGAATTGCCATGAAATGTTTGGTTAACTCACAGCAGGTAAAGCGAAAAAGGAAATCCCCGCCAAGGAACAGAAAGCAGCGATTATTTTTCCCAACCAGGTTCTAGGCACAGTGTCCCCGTACCCAACAGTACAAAGGGTGACCTAGACGGAATGGGAGAGGAGAGTAGGAGATTGAGCAGGGCACAAACGCGACTGGTAAATGCCAAAAAGCTATCATCAAAGAACCCTGTGATTTATAAATAAAGCTCGGGTCAGTAGCACTCTGTTTGGACTGTTCGCGCCTAGTAGAACTCCCCATGCCTTAAAGGCGTCCGCGCAGCCTTCTACGGCACTGAGTAGCTACGTCCAAACAGTTATTACCATCTCTTCCCAAACTGGTGATACATATATTAAGGCAGTAAAAGGATCGAGCATGAGGACTTCTTTTTTAAAACAATAAAAATAGAATAAAATTATAGTGATACTTCCATTTTAGTGAACGAAATTAATAGATTATTATCACCAGCAAATACCTAGCAAAGGACTATCACTTGTCTCATCTGGTCACAGTGTATGGACAGTGTGTGCCGTTAGACTCTTGGCATATACTTAGTTCACTTGTGGATAGAATGAGCCAATGTGTTTACGTTATTTCTTTTATGTTCATTTATTTGGTTGCTCGGTTTTTAAGACTGTATGAACATATATATGTATTGCACTTTTGTATTGAGTCAACGAATTCCATGTAATATAACTAATAGTAAGTAAAAAGCAACTGCCTAGCTTCTTATACACGACCAAAAGAAGAAGTTGGTCACTGATGTCCCACAGCAAGCGCACTTGTTATTGTGCCAGGCTTAATGCGATGTGCGTAGCAGTTTAGCAGACTTAGTAGAGCTTCACGAAATGTTTACGACGGAGAATGTCTACGCTTGGAGGAGCTGCAGAAGCTGCTTACGCGGTGTTGTACACAATCTGTGCGGCACTTAGCCTAGTGTTTAAATTCCGCACATAACTGTGAGTTTTAATGGCTTAGTGCCACTAATGCGTAACCGGGTTGGAAAGAGCAGAAAGGGAACTCATATTTTTACAAGAGTCTTAAATGTGTGAACTTGTGTTAGAAATCCGAACTCGCCGTCATTCATACGCCCCCCAGATGCACTTCCCAGTCGACCGGAATTGAGATGAAACTCACTGGTACTCCAATGATAGAACGAAAACCCAAGGTATAACGTTGGTCCAAGACAAATAAATACACCTTTACTCCTTCACCTCTCCCTGTGAATCAGGCTAGATTGTTAGAACGGCGAAGTAGGGTAGTCCCATCCGGCCTGACTTGAGACTGTGTGCCGGAAACCCCCCGATTCTTCCATTGCCGCAAATAGCGCGGAACAGAGCACTTCACTACTCCAGCTGAGACATGCAAGCCAAACTTGCAAGCGCCTGAGCAGCGTTCATCTTGTACCCGCAGGTGAGTACTAAATGGCACTGCGAACATGAATGGTAAATTTACAAAAGACTAGCAATGACAGTATGATTGCTTTGGACTAACCAAATTGCGACCCCTGGCCACCGGAATCACGCAAAGCTGCATGAATGTTTTCCATTGCCTGGGCCGGGTCTATTGGTACAGGAAGATCTCGGGTGTTCAAAACAAGCAGAGAAGGCGACGAGAACCGGCAATCCACACCGCGCTTCTTCGCAGAGCCTTCGGTCAGTTTGAACCCTCAATATTTCCCCAAATGCTTAACGCCTACGTGGGACTGCACGTGGAATATGCTATGCAGGCGTGGCACGCTTGGCGGAAACAGGATCTCCATGCTCTCGAGACTGCTCAACGAACGGCAACCAAGTAAGTCAGAAGCCTCTTTTATCTGCCTTATCAGCTTAGACTGAAATCTCTAAGGATGTACAGCAGTCCATATCGGCTTTTGCGGGGGGATCTCATAATAGCTTACCAGATTCTGAAGAACCCAAACCACATTTACTGTCTGCTGCTGAAATTGAACCACAACACTAATCGAAGAGGTCATCCTGCGAAAGAGACAATAGAGTGTAGCCGCCTTGAATGACGTAGAAATTGCTTTTCCCTCCATGCGTGCAAGCCTTGGAACGCCCACCTTAATTATGTCGTCTCTGCTACCAATCTGGCGATATTTAGAAAACGATTTGACGATATGTTGTCTCATTTGCATTTCATTTTATAACTTGTTAGCTAAAGGGCTACACAAGGAAATCAAACGGTATCTTACCAAACTCCCAACCAATGGATTTATGGATTTATACTTTTAATACACGGACATCTCTGCCATTCAACATAAGTCTATGGTGAGTCCACCACAACGCTTTTCACTTTATCATGCAATTGATTTTCGTAATAACTTCCATCCCGCGGGACTTGTTAAGCAACGCTTATTTTACCCGTAGCAAAACATTTTCCATTGTACCCAGGTAAGACTGAGTGAAGCATCTCAATCCTTGCGTCGTGCCCACACATCTTGGTCCACAGATTATGGCACAAGCTTGAAGAAGGTACATCAATCAGCTGTTTTTCACACTAAAATTCAAAGTTGACGCGCTTTCTCATCCAGAGTTAACTGTCACAGTATATTTTTGAGCTGCGTGCACTTGAAAAACCCGTTACTAGGGCATGATGAGGTGTTAGTGACTGATGAGTACCGCCGGATTAGCAATACTGAGTGTCCCGAAGCCCAGATAGTAAGGGGCTACAAAAGTTGACCTAATCGTGCAAACTTTGACAGCATACCAACTTCACTAACCGTCCATGTTGCGTTTGTACAATTGCAGTAAAAGATGGCTTGAACGCACAGATATGTGACAAAGTGCGAAAGTTGCTATGGAAGGTTTATTTGATCTGTACGCAGATCCCGTTTATAACAAGCATAGCGAGCGAGCTCTAAAAGAAAGCAGGATACAACCACAACATTACGATTTGAAGCGGATAAGTTGGTCCCATGCTTCCACGAAAGTAAGCCGCCTTTAGTCTGTCACAGTATCCGGCTAAAGTGTTGGTGGGTTGTATGCGGTTTTACTGGCTGTGCCTGCGACCGATGTTATTCCTGTGACTGTACCGTGTCGTTTTCTCTGCTGACCTGTTTTCCAACCAATGGGAGCATCATGTCATGTGCTCACACATGACTCTTTCTCATCGCTGTGCCCTCGGTTGCAGCTCAAAACCCGGTAGTTCAAAATACTACAGCAAAGTACTTTTATTTCTTTCAGCAACATCCAATAGCATATTAAGTGACCATATAGTACAGTAATCCCACGGCACCCGTCACCAGACTCCGACTATGACAAAGAGCCAATTAGCAGTGGTATACGTGCCTGTAGAAAATTAATGCTTTCCTTAGCTCGGACACAGAGGCTATGCATGCATTACTGAAAAGACTGACGTGTATCACTGCACGATTCGGCATGTGCTTGGTAGCTTCAGGGTACGAAGTATTGTTGAAGGACTGAACTGATACAACCACGGTTTTAGCCATGATCAGACAGCCACTGAAAGTGGTGGATCAGTTCACCTAGATAGTTATAACAATAAAATTTTATTCGTAACTATGTAAGGTATGCCCTGATAGTGACCTCCCTGAGGAGGTTACTTCTAGTATCAACAAGTCTCATGGAGCGTTTCAGAGGGTCTATCATCTATGAGGACTGGGGGAATTCAGTGTGTCAGTAAATGGTAAGGTGTATAACGCTGCAATAAAGCAGTGTTACTGTATGGATCAGATACCTACTCAGTTCACAGGGAAGACTAAACGGTTGGCCATGTTTGATCATCATGGTCGGCGGAGTATTGCTCAAACCTGGTGGGAACGCCGGGTGAAAAATGCTGAGGTCCGTCAGTTGGTTTTTAGCAAGTGATCCTCTGGTGCTTCACTCAAGTGTTTGCTAAAGTTCAGCCGCTTACGACGACTAAATCTTGCTTTCCGTACGCCATTTGACCGCCTTCCTAGGCGTGTAATAATTATACACCGCGAGGTGTCCAGTTGGTGAGGTGATAAGGACATGACAAAATTGGCTGAGAAACTTAGTCCGGATTGTGCATGCCATCTTTGTGAGTGGGAGCCCTGGGATGATTCACTTCAGCGGTTGGACACTGAACGAGATCACGCATTTGCGCAGTCAGTGGCACTCCTGCACCCGGCTTCTAGTATCTACTTGTCGATGTTCATTCCACAACGATTAGTTCTGTACACTTCTTACTTAACCCAATTTTTTTTGTACCCTCTGTGTTCATTCTAATCGTGGACAACTGTTATCTTGGCGGCGCGATTCGTCGCAATATGTTCCACCGTACATCAGTACTCCGATCATAGTTGTTTAATTGAAGTGAGGTGAGCTAAGGAAATCAATGCACACCTGAGCGAATGTCAAATTGGTGGCGTTGTAAGTGAACGCGTTTTGTAGTGAGCATGAGAGATTATGCACAGAATGCCATGGGGACAGGTCCTTAGATAAGCATTACTCACACCTGTTCCATATCGACAGCTTGGTTCACAAGAGTGCATCGGTTTTTATGTTGATCAAAAACTTCGAGATCAACAAAGGAGGACAGCTAAATGAGTATCATGAAACGTTGTGAGTACGTGCTGAATTGTGCATACCAGGATGCAAAAATTATGTATCTGTCTAGGGAAGACGTAGTACTCGGAGAGGATTGCATCCGGATCGTAGTTCTCGTATTAAAACCAAGGACGGATGCAAGCAAGTGTATTGCCGGCTTAATTGTGCTTTGTTGGAGGATTTACCTTCTAGACACTCTCTCGCACGTTTATTATTCCTATTTCACCTTGCATCATGACCATTGTTAAGGCTAAGACTAAGATCCATGGTCTCATCTCCAAAAGAAGAGTGTACTGAAACTTTTTGAAATTTCTGCGGCCTGACGGTGGCCGGTGGTATATAAAAGCTAGAAATTCACAGATTTGAGAATTGTTCGTTCTGCCTGAGAGTTGTAGACAAGTAGAGCTTGATACAGTTCTACGAGTCTTTGTCCTGGTGTAGTGCGTGATACGGTGGGGGGGGGGGGAATGGTGTCTGATTCCGAAGTTGAGTCTATTGACATGCTGCACTTATGATGTCCAAGTCCTGCAAGGTAATCGGTCATGTTACCTGATGTTGGTTAAGCGATTACC